TCCCTATTTTAACAGTCTTAGAGTGTTGAGTGGTAATAAAATGGAAAACACAGCAGGCAATTCAGATCTCTCGTTGGAGCTTCTGTGGGGAATTCTACTGGATGAACATTTGACAAAAAAGCTTTGGAGATTTGGTTTCCTTTTATCTGACTCCTGTGAAAGAGCAGAATACTATTTCACTTCCTGTGGTGATACACTGCCACATACATTATTACTGCAGTCTCTCTCTGCTAGCATATTCCCCACTGCTATCAAGTGCTAACAATATGCAGACAAAGCAGGTTATATTTGTCAAAAAATCTTACCAGCTTGCAACAAGGGACATTTACTGGCACGGAAACTAGAAGGATACCTAAAAAGCTGGGTGTTTCACTACACTACACACGATCTCCTGAACATAAAGGTACATTGTATGAGAAATGGAGCTGCTATAATTTCTTTTCTAAAAAATGCATCTACCTTGTTCCACCTATATATAATCATTAGGCAAAGCAACAATACAATGTGACTGCAGAACTTCTTAAAGGAGCCAGTGTGGCTGCAGACATGATAATGTAAGTGATAACTTAATGATAGTTGTTTAGGGACAATAGCTCTGGAGATGCAGTTTCTGTATGACACACAGGAGGGTTCTAGCAGCAAATTGCTGAGATCTGCCTCTTCTTTAAAGACTTTGGGATGCACCTCAGTTAGATTTCCTGTATTTCTCACTGCCATGTGAGCTAGGAATTTGCTTAAAGAAGACAACCCAAAAGTATCTCTTAGCCCATCACACCAGGAATTAGAGGATTTAAAAAGAAATTACTACTTCCCACATGATTTTTGCCCAATTTTTTGTGGCCCACATGATATTGCTAGAACAATTCCTTACAGAATGCCTTCTAAAATGCCAACACTGCTGCAGGAGGCTCAGGGAACAAGAAAACTATACAGACAACCCTGAAAAATATGTATCACAGGGAAAATCTAATTCCTAAGGAATAGATAAGGGAACAGAGCTGATTCGAAGCAGACAGGAATAACCAGATGAATTAATACACCAGCACATACTTGATCTTGTACTGTGCAGTAGTTTATCCTTGATAGCTCATCCTATCTTTCTGGTACATACTGTACTGTCTTTGCTTGTCTTCTTGTCTTCCATCATATGTCTACCAGACGGAAGCACATTCTGTGCTTTCATTAGGTCAGTAAAAACAAAAAATAAATAAAAAAACAAACTGAAGGCTGTCAGGAAGAAAAAATGTATCAGCTCTCATCATTTCAATCCTGCTGTACTGGGGCTATTGAAAGGAGATACGCTGAACTACTTTTCACTTCATCTTGTTTATTGGTACTCTGGTATGCAAAGAACTTGAGACAAGTTCCTTAAGCCTGGTGAAACGCCAGGCAACATGGGGAGTAAAGGACTGTTGGTCTAGATGATAAATCAGTGACGAGTTTTGCTCTGCTCTCCAAGCATGTATGGCACCTCAATGTTGGTCACCAGATTGAAATTCATAAATAACTGCTGGAAGTTGAAGAGTGCATGAGAATAGTAACTGAAAAATAATTTAAAAGGGCAACTGCAGCTTTCAGCTCTTTTGTCTCCACAGTTCCTAAGTATCCATTTCTCCTTCCCAGGGGAAGCTAAGAATTGTACTGCCTCATCAGCAAGAAAACTGAATTACAAAGCACTAACATTAGCAGCATCGAGCTAAAATCCACAGTGATTTATTTCTCTTTAACTATTTTGTTGTTGTTTATCACATACATTCACAATCTTTGACTATAGCATTTTTTTCCATGGGCTTATTCAGAAGAATTATTTGCATGCCTTTCACATCATCCCATCAGGACTTCACATGTTCAACACAAGTTGATTTGGAGAGAAATTTTTCTAGGAGAGGCATGTATGTAATTAATGTCTGGTTCTTAGAACAATGTCAACCCAGTGACTGTGATTGCTAACACCAAAATATTTATCTTTAGTCGGGGTAAAAGGACCATGATGAAGGTAAATGGAAAGCTCTCCTTGACTCTGAAATGCATCAAATCCACAAAATACAAAATCCACTGATTCTTCAGCAGTAATTAGGGATAATCAGGTGTCTTTTAAATAACTATCTCTACATTAGATTACAGTGAAGAACTGCAGAAAACTATTTTATGTTTACATGCTCCATACCAAATACTCTCCTAAAATTTTAGCAAATACTTTAACATTGATCAGTGCTCCAGAAAGTAAGAGGAAGTTCCATCTATTCTGCTCAGCACTACTTATCACTACTTTTTCAAGCATGTCAGCCTAACAAGCCAGAGTGAATCAGCCTCAGCCTGTAGTGTATGAAAAAGAGGAAGGTAATGACTTCAATTTACCTTACATACTAGACAGCTTTACAGAGGTTTAACTGCTTGTTTTAAATGATGCTTTGGGCCAATTTCATGCATTAACTGAGTCCCAAGAAGTCGATGCTAGAAACAAACTGGGCCTGTTCAAGGCATAAATAGCTAGATAATGAAGAGGTTTATTACAGGCTGTTCACATAATCATCACAGGGGTTCATATAATCTCAACTGAGATTATCATTAGATTTGCTGCTCTCTGCTATCCTTTATTTCTCATCTCTCTCTCATTGCATCTCCCCTGCTCACACATCCCATGGCATACACCCTCTTCTGAGCTAGCCAAAAACTGCTCCTGTTCCTGTTGCTTAACACAATGCACCATCCTGTCTATGGGTACTGAGACTGTAAGAGTGCCCATAATTCTCTTGACACAGTCATATAGACAAGGTGACCTTTATCATCTGCTTCAAGTGGGCAGTATTTCACTTACTCTGTAACAAATCACAACTGTGCAATGGAAATGAGACACTTTTATTAAATTAAGCACTTTACCATCACCATTGACCTTGATACTATGAAAAGTTTTTATATCACATCCACATCATTTATTTCTTCCTCAATCTGTTTTAGAGGCAGGCTGTTAATATAACCTTTGTTCACAGTTTGGAGATTCAGATCAGGCTATTCTCCAAGACTCCTGTGATTTTCATCCATATACTGAGCCCTTGAGGCCTTATTATTTAAAAAAAATGCCTGGATAATTAATGTCTGGATAACACCTGAGAAGGAAGGTTTCAGTGTTGCTACATGTCTTTCTGTTTTTCCCAGCTACATTTGCAGCACTAGGTCCTGTGGAAGAAGCAGGAGGCTGCAGTCTTTCAGAGACCAAATGGCCATGGTTAGCTGGGAATTAGACAGGCTGGACAAATGGCAACTGGAAGACACACATAGGGAACTTCTTGCTTGGGTATGGATGGAGAACAGGGTCTGACTGGGTCCCTCAGTGTGTCTCCCCTGATTGATGCACACCAAAAGCTGTGCACAGCCTTGCAGAGCAGGAGGCCACTTCAAGACTGCATGGCAAGGCAAAATGAGAAGGCCCATCCTGTGAAAATCTCAGTAGGCAAGATGGAAAATAGAAGTCCCATATTTTAACATGATTATTTTAAAAGCTGCTTTGCTCTATATTTCTTTTTTTTTGCTTGAAAGGTCTTAGAGACCAAAGTTAATGCATCCTAAAAGTCATGGTGCTGACATTCTAAGGGGGAATTTCTCTGAAACTCTTTCTTCCCCACATACTTCTTCAATAGTAAAAAATATTTCTGTTCTGTGTGGATCGATTCCTCCCTGTTTTTCTTGCACTGTCTTTGTGTTGTACCCTTTTTTCCCTAGTCTTCCTGAACAGTATTTGTCCCTGCCTGGCCTGTCACGCTCAGCTTATCAGCTTCTGTTACACCTGCTCAGTACACTCCTATTAGCTATATATCTTCTTTTGCTTGACATGCTACATAAATACTTGTTTGACTAAGATTAAAGAACACAGAATTCCTTTTTTACTTGATGTTTCCTACAGCATTTTCCAGCCATACATCAAATCATGCTTGTCAGAGTTTTATGCAGTTCTTTGTATGTAGCCATGTCATAATTCAAACCAGTGCTCTGTGAATCCATTTCCAGAGTGCACAACTTCCAAGACAACATAAATTAGACCAGCTGTTGCTTTTCACTTTCAACACATGTATTTATTTATTTACTTATTTGTTATCTTTCTTGTCTATCTAAGGCATGTGAGGCTCAGGCAACTTTTTGGGTTATGTTTAATTACAGTATTTGAGCTGGGATGCCCCATGGTGAAACAGCCATTATCACTGGGGATTACCATGTGGATAACTTATTATTTACTGAGAGAAGTGACACATAAAAACAGCATTGATCTTTGTGTGTTTTACAGTGATGGAAGCCCAGAAGAAAATGCAAGGAAATTCTTGATTCAACATAACAATGAAGAGATAACTTTCAGATGTCATTACACAGGATTAGAGGTAGAGTGCCTAAACCAGGAGCTTTTCTTTCACATACTTGAACTAACATTTAGTATGTTCAGAGCACTGGATTAACTGTCTGTCATACAGCTACTGGTTCCCTATTCAAAGAAAAGCTAGATTGAGAAATGGAATTATTTTTTTTGGCTCTAGACAAGAACTTTCAAAAGGATGAGATGTGACTAATCTCTTTATTGAGCATTTTGCACTGCCTTTCAAGCGGAAAATATTTGAAAAAAACTTGATTACAAAGCTTATCTGAACCAGGCTCTTGAGATCCTTCTTCAGTCTAATTTTTGTTCATGGCATCACCAAGTGTAAGCATGGATAATCAAAGGTTTCCCACACTGTGTTATCACACAAGCTCTGCTGTGCTCACATGGGAAGACTGAAGATTTGGCTGCATCACACTCTGTGGACTCAAAATGGACTGTGGACTGCAACTTTGGGACCGTTTTCTGAATGATCTCTGAACTTCTTGATGGTAGCAGAACTGACACCTGGTCTGTCTATGCAAATTTAATTACTCCTTCTCCACAAAGACAAGTCTAGATTAAAATTTTGAACCTGAAAAATCCTAATTTAACTTTCAGAGTCTTATGATCTTTTTAGAGACCTCATAATCTGGAAATTAAATCTCTGGAGAAGTTAATCTGTACTACTGGCATCTTCCTTTAATTACAAACCTTTCCTAAGGAACACATGAAGATGTTTTTATGAACTCTTCTTTTTTAGTGTCCTGACTTCGTGGGAACTAATTTTTTCTCAGCACAAGAACGAATGCCTTAATCAGTTATGCTGATGTAGAAATTAAACCTCCACGTAGAGTGACTTATGAACTCTTCTTTTTTAGTGTCCTGACTTTGTGGGAACTAATTTTTTCTCAGCACAAGAATGAATGCCTTAATCAGTTATGCTAATGTAGAAATTAAACCTCCACGTAGAGTGATTTATTCTTGACATAAACTCTTCTTCATTGCAGTCTGGTCACAAAAGAATCTAGTCACAAAAGGAACTTTTGTTCGAGGTCTTTCTACAAGGATCTCCACATATCTTGATGACTGAAACAAATGGATTTAATAATGTTTTGAAAAATAAGCACATGTCCAGAACTTTGTGGGCCCCAAGATCAGGACAAGAATAGACTTGGACACAGATCATCACTGGTAAGTGTTTCGTACAATATCTGATTAGCTGCTTGGACCCAACTGAGTTAAATGTTCCTGGAATTTTACCCTCTCCTTTCATTTGATTTTAATTGTGAGATGACAATGGCTGATCACTGCAATGGTGTGATGGTTTAGATCACACCATGAATGCTTCTGGTTTAGGTCTGTGAGAAGAGAGCTGGTAAAATATCTGCTCAATACATGGTATTTGTGGGGCTAAGTAAAACTTGCAAGTAACTGTGCAAATCTGGTTGGAAAAAACAGGTGAGCTTGGGGTCCAAGTTAAGACTTATGTGCCCCAAAGCTAGTTCATTTTTTCTTACTATACCAGTTAGTCTAACAAAATATTTCACCTTGTTTCATAAACCTCATGCAGCTTCTGTCACCCGGTGTTCACAATTACAAGGAGGTAACAGCTGCTTAGTTTGTAGGACTACACTGGCAACTTCATGTATTACAAATACAATTGGGGAAAGAGATGGGAAAAACTCAGAATAATGCTATAGCTGCTTAACAGTGTATTCCTGAATGGAAAGACTTATAATCCCAGCAATATACACCTTTCAGTACTTTTGCAGAGAAAAATGTGGTCTGTAGGGCTGATGATCACTGTGTTTAAACAAGCTCTCTCTCCAGGAATATTTTCCTTTTAACTGATCCTACTGCTGAAACCCTACTGATCACAATAGCTTGTTGCCATGGATGGGTAATGATGTCACATATTCTGCCCTCTGTCTGTGCCAGAAAATAAATGAGTGATTTTTTTTAATGACTGAGAGTTACTTAGCAATTCCCTGGAAGGCCTGAAGTGAATTACAAGTAAGAAAACAAGATGCCCTGTTCACCCTACCTGCACTGTATCTGTCTGCCAGTGAAGTGACGCAGTGAAACTCCATAGTAAATATCTGCAGATTTAAAAACAAGGGTCTGTTACTGCAGTTTACCTTGTTATCCAACCGATGTCAGTGGGCCAAAGATCAGCAGGAGGTTGGGTAAAGTGTGCCTTAGGGGCTCTTGGAAAAGACATAAATGACTGTTTGTCCTTCGGAAGTTTTCGGAAGAGGGTACATGGCTTGTGTCCTTCCCTCTTTCAGC